CTCTCTCTCTCTCTCTCTCTCTCTCTCTCTCTCTCTCTCTCTCTACGCTTCTCTATCTCTCTTCTCTCCCTTCCCCTCTCGTCCTCCCTTGTTGTTACTAGCTACCCGCGCGTTATCGTCCGGCTCCACTCTAGCGTACGATATAGCGCGCCCTGATTTCTCTTTGGAAATAGACGACGGGATATTACGGTGACACTAATATGAGAAGGGATAAGATACGATCTCGTGCTATTAGAAGAAAAATGCGACCGACGGTGGGATATCGCGAGAAGAATTACGTCAAGAATATATTTTGATAGACGAAATCGATTCTGCCTGTTGAACTTCATTCATCAACACCAGCAATGTTATACGCCGCGTTGGATAATAAACATATTTGCTGTATTAATATTCTTCGTGGAAAGTAAAGCGTAATTTTTTTTTAACAAAAACGGCAAGAGGGAAAAGACCTTTCCTACGACTGTATCTCGTTCCTCATCTAATTCCAATCGGATTTGATTTTAATAGATCTTTATTTTAAATATAATTACTTATAGATATAATATTTAAATATATTATTATATTTATAGATATTTATATACGTATTATTTATAGAGTAAATGTGATTATCAATAATCAATATTATTACAATATTATCACAAATATTATTACAATATTTGTAGACTTTTTTAACAATGTTGTGTAAATAATGCAAATATTAAATTTCGAAATTTGTTCCACGCCGCGAGAAGAACGCGGCATCCCATTCAATATTGGTAAAAGGGTGAAAATCATTTCATATTGGCAAACAATTTCTAATAAATTGGCATGATATCGACGCGATGGCCGAGATTAAAAATCCCGATCGGCCCAATACCATTTGATAACAATGCTCTTTCTCCTCGACACAGCGGCGATACCCTTTTCCCGGGAGTGGGCATGAAATGCGACACGGTGCTCCATCACCCGGAGTGGAAAACATCATTCGAAGGCGAAAAACCGCGGGCTTTCCCACTTTCCGAGCTATCGGATTTTCTCGCTCGGCACAGTCGTCAGGATTTCCGCACTTTTCGCGACTAAGTTGACGCGCAAGAAAGTCCCTCGTGTCCCATCTCTATCGTCCTCTCTCGCGAAAAGAGTTCGCGATTGCACGGCGCGCGTGACGCGAGGGCGATCGGTAATTTCGAAATGTGAACGATAAAGAATAAGCAAATGTATCTCTGACGTTGTACACCCTCAGAAAGGATTTCTGTTACCGAGACAAAAATATTCTTGACGCATTTATATTTTTCACAACCTCATTTAGTATCGAAATAAGACATCAAAATAAATTCAATAATTCTTATTCTCCTCCATCGAATTAAAAAAGATTGACTTACTATATTGAAACGAGAGTAATTTAATATATTCTTGCGTTTAGAATAAATTTTCTCTCCATCTTACAACGCACGAAGTTGGCACCACGATATTCGACAAAAGACGATTTTAGATGTTAAAGTTTTTCATTTATTTTAAGATTAAAATATTCCTTTCTGTATAATAAATATGATTGGCGCTACATCGATCTTATTTTATGATACATTCAAGTGTAATAGTATTGGATCCGGACATTTTTTTCTGTGAGTATAGTTTTGAATACTTTCAATACCGCTCTGCAGTTTCCTCCGTTCTTTCCTGCCGTTACACGGAGAGAATTTTCTCTTAAAATGTACTGTGAAAATCATGTAATCGCGGAATGGCATTTTGAAGGCCTTCATGAAAGTTTTTCGAAATTTTACTTTCTACTAGTAAAACGTGTGGTAAAATTTCAAAAAGCTCTCATAAAATTCTTCGAAATGCCATGTTGTCCCATTGATTTTCAGGATACATTTTAAGAAAAAAATGCTCTCCGTGTAGCACACCTGAAAGCTCAATTTCAGTTGAATGTTAAACGGAATTTCAGAAATACACGACCACTTCTAGCTAATCGTCGAAATATTTTAGCTAGACTAACCGCTTGGGGCCAATTTTACAAACGTCGGTTAACTGTTAACCAGAGTTCAGTCAACGCCCTACCCTTTTCTATCTTGTTATCTAAGAAGAGACAGAGAGAATCAATTAACCTTCGGTTAGCAGTTGACCGATGTTTGCGAAACTGGCCCTAAGACTACTAGCTAACAACCGCCGGCTTTATTACTTCCCGAGGTGCATACAAATAAAAAATAACGCGGCTACTTTTGTATACACTCGTCGTACCTTATTTACGGCCGTATGAAAATTCAAAGATCGACGATATGCACGGCTGAATTCTGCAAGAATACAAAAATGCGCCGGGCGTGAGCGAACGTAAAAGACATCGTAAATTTTACGTATGCTACTCGGGATTTATCATCGCGCCGGATCGTCATTGGTCACCGTGCGATAGCACCGAGGCGTCTGACATTACGTAAAGTGTTACGACAGCATTATATAATTTATATATATCCTGCACTTTTATCCAGCTCTTCAGCCGCGACACAAGACGGGGATCATCGTTCGCGCAGAAAGTACGAAACAGGATCATCATCCCGTTCGTCGCGTCGCGTCGCGGTCGACCCGTTTTGATAAAACGCACATTTTCCACCGTCGCGGTATCCCATTTCCTTCGCGAGACGCGCCTTCGTTGTAGGTGATCCCCTCTCTATCGGCG